TCACTCAGACAACAGTTTTTGTGTCTCCTCACTCTTGCTCTCCCAAACTGAGGCCCGTTAGCTGTTTTTGCCCTTTAGATTTCTAAGTGTACCTGGCACTGGCACTGTGGCCTATGGATATTTACCAGAATAACCTCAGCAAGGAATCCATAGATGATTTCTCCAGTCATGCCTACCTTCTTATTCCAGGATAAAGTTAGACCTCAGATGTGAGATTAGTCTGCTTTTTTGCTAGTCACTGGCTAGTGAGTTGGAGCTTATAGAAGGAAAACTGAATAAATTGGCTATGACTTCCCAGGCCTGTGACTTTTTACTTCAATATTTGATTCTTTCTGATTCTCCCCTACCTTCATAGTATGCAGCACCATAAGCTTACAGCAAGAGACTAAGGCTTAGAATTGGTATCGGCTTCTTGTATGTGACCCACAAGAAGCTGTGGTCTATAAAGAGAGATACAGGTTTGGATCTTATTTCTGCTGTTGGCCATTGGGAAGAGAGGGGTGAGAGTAGAGTGTGGAGACCAGAGTCAGACAGGTCAGTTGGACAAGAGTGGCAATCTCTAAGATGGAGGCACTGGTTTATCTTATTGATTTATTTTAGTTTTGTTTTGTTTTTTAATTTGGATTAACCTGTTTGGCCTCCATGGCTTCCATCAATGTTCCTTATAGCCAGAGGCAGCTCTTTGCCCTGGACAGCATATGCATGGTCCGTGCCTTGCATTCCTGCTACATATTTTGAGTTTTACTGCATATCTTTGCTCATTTTTGTTCAATTTTATTCTTTTTATTTTTGTTTGTGTTTTGTGTTCTGTTTCTGCTATATTTTCTTTTGCATTTTAGCTAAACTAAGACTTGCCCTGCATGGTGCCAGCTGTAGCACACACAGCAGAGCCCTAGTCGATAAGAAGTTGCAAATCAGTATTCGAAAAGCACGGAGCCTGCAGGATCGCATGCAGCAGCAGCAATCACCACAGCAGCCGTCGCAGCCCTCAGCCTGCCTCCCGTCACAGGCGGGGACTCTCCCTCAGCCAACAAGGTAGTGCTTGGGAACCATGTTAGTTTATGAACGCCAGGGGAAGAAGTGACCATGAGTACTCTATAGCAAGAGCTCTCATTGTCTTGCCGACTGAAGGGGAGAGAGGAGTCCTCTGAAAAGATTTTCTTCTTTCAGGTCAGACATACAGTGAAAAACTCATTGTACTGCTGGTCCTTTCCTTAATAATTCCTAGGATGCAAAAGTACAGCATAATAAGACTATTTGTCCACATTTCCCATGGGTAACTTTAGCCCTGGACTTGCGTAATGCGATTATTACATTTGTGTATATATATATTATGTTCTTAGACATGGCAATCTAGGCTACATTTCATGTTGTAGTAGCTACCATGTGATTTATTTTGGGATTTCAATGCTTCCTATCCTTATGGAAGCCAAGAAAGCAGTCTTTCTTGCTCTGATTGCACCATAAAGAAGAGACACAATGATTCCCTTTGCTTTGCTTCTTTATGGTCAGGACTAGGAAAGAAGTTCCAGTAGTCATTGTTGTAGTTCTCTCATCTTAGCCCTTGAATTTGGCTTTTACTTAGAATAGATGAATTTAAATAAACATTAATTTGGACCATTAATAATTCTGAGTAGTTTTCAAAATATAAATTAATAAAAGCAGTTAGCTTTTTTTTTTTTTTTTTGAGACAGGATCTTGCTTTTTCACCCAGGCTGGAGTGCAGTGGCACAATCATAGCTTACTGCAGCCTCAACCTCCTGGGCTCAATGTTCAAAAGGCAAATGTTCAAAAATAGTTAACTCTAGGCATGGTAGCTCATGCCTGTAATCCTAGAATTTTGGGAGGCTGAGGAGGGCAGATTATTTGAGTCAAGGAGTTTGAGACCAGCCTGGGCAACATGGTAAAACCCTGTCTCTACAAAAAACAAAAAAAAATTTAGCTGGGCATGGTGGTGCATACCTGTGGTCCCAGCTACTTGGGAGGCTGGGGTGGAAGAATTGGTTGAGCCCGGCAGGTCAAGGCTACAGTGAGCTGTGATGGTGCTGCCACACTCCAGCCTGGGTGACATTGAAAGACCTTGTCTCAAAAAAAAAAAAAAAAAAAAAATGCAGGTCTATTTGATGCTAAAGCACATGTCCTTAACTATTATGTATATTGCCTTTTATGATTAGGCTTCCCATATTAGTATATCTTACTCTCCATAATGTTATAAGGGTGACTGGGTGACTGTACCCTCAAAAGTTTATAGTATATTTTCATTTGAATTTAGGGGCTTGTTTTGAATATAAGCAATTTAGATAGGTAAACCCTTTCCAGAAAACATATACTTCCTGATGTATGTGAGTGATTGAGGCTTTATTTAAGTCCTTGTAACATTAAGTTTTTAAAATCAGAAATACAAAACAATTAGTGAGAAACCAACTAAATACAGTTAATCCCTACTCCTACTCCTAAATCTCAAGAGAGTCATATTGCTTTGGGGAAACATCTCAGTGACTAATAGAACAAAATCCAGATTTTAAAAACATATTTGAAATGGTTGATTTCTGTGTATTCCCATGAGCCCAAATCACCGTGTATTTTGTAAATGTGGCCTCATGGTTCCTTTGGCTGGGCTGCCTCTCAGGACTCCAGGTAGGACTTGCCTCCCTGTATAGCATCCTGGATTTTTGCTGTTTGGTATGAGTGATTTTCAGGCTTTGCTTACCTTCCATGTCATCTGCATGTGAGACTAGCTGATTTTGTTTCCTAATTTGCAAGTAGAATGTGATTGGAATGCGACTTCACAGGTAGTGAAGAATATTGGCAAGGGGTCCACTTAATGTTACTGTGCACCTTTAGTGAGGGCATTTAATAAAGAGGATTAATGTTACCTATTTACCTTGGTGTGAGCTGACCATGTGCCTTTTCTTTTGTGATCCTCTGAACTACTGACTCTACTTGTGCTTGTCTTTCTGTTTATTTTTACCATTCCCTGTGTGAATAGCTAGAAATGGGAATGGAATGAACAGTTCTTTCTGTAAGCGTTCCTGTCAGTCAAGGCAGCTTATGACTAGCTGTCTCCATTTGTTTCAGTGAACAGCCTATCCCGCTCCAAGTATTGTTAAGCCAAGAGGCCCAACTGGAACCCGGCACGGATACAGAGTTTGGGGCCAGTTCTTTCTTCCATTCACCTGCTTCCTGCCATGAGTCACACTCATCACTATCTCCAGTGTCATCTGCCCCACAGCACAGCTCCCCCAGTAGATCTGCCTTGAAGCTTCTGACTTCGGTTGAAGTAGACAACATTGAACCCTCTGCATTCCACAGGCAAGGTTTACCTAAAACACCAGGATGGACTGAGAAGAATTCTCCTCATAGTTGGGAGCCATTGGATGCCCCAGAGGGTAAGCTGCAAGGCTCTAGGTGTGACAACAGCAGTTGCAGCAAGCTACCTCCACAAGAAGGAAGAGGCATTGCTCAAGAACAGCTATTCCAAGAAAAGAGGGACCCTGCTAATAACCCCTCCCTGGTGATGCCTGGAATAGCCACCTCTGAGAGGGGAGATGAACATAGCCTAGGCTGTAGTCCTTCAAATTCATCAGCTCAGCCCAGCCTTCCCCTGTATAGAACCTGCCACCCCATACTGCCTGTTGCTTCTTCATCTGTGCTTCGCTGTCCTGATCCTGTGCAGAAAACTAACCAATGCCTCCAAGGCCAAAGCCTCAAAACTTCATTGACTTTAAAAGTGGACAGAGGCAGTGAGGAGCCCTACAGGCCAGAGTTTCCCAGCACGAAGGGGCTTGTCCGTTCTCTGGCTGAGCAGTTCCAGAGGATGCAGGGTGTCTCCATGAGAGATAGTACAGGTTTCAAGGATATAAGTTTGTCAGGTAGTCTAAGGAAGAACTCTTCCCCTTCTGATTCTAAGCCTCCTTTCTCACAGGGTCAAGAGAAAGGCCACTGGCCATGGGCAAAGCAACAATCCTCTCTGGAGAGTGGGGACAAACCACTTTCCTGGGAAGAGTCCACTGAACATTCTTCTCTTGCCTTAAACTCTGGGTTGCCTAATGGTGAAACTTCTAGGGGAGGACAGCCCAGGTTGGCAGAGCCAGACATATACCAAGAGAAGCCGTTCCAAGTGAGAGATGCTAGGTCTAAGGATCTGGGCAGCAGTGCTGACTTGGGGACTTCCTTGCCTTTGGATTCCTGGGTGAATGTCACAAGGTTCTGTGATTCTCAGCCTAAACATGCGGCCTCTAGGCCAGGAATGAAGTCCTCCCCTCATGATTCCCATATGTGTGTAACCTATCCAGAGAGAAATCACATCCTTTTGCATCCACATTGGAACCAAGACACAGAGCAGGAGACCTCAGAATTGGAGTCTCTGTATCAGGCCAGTCTTCACGCTTCACAACTTGGCTGTTCTGGATGGGGGCAGCAGGATACAGCCTGGCACCCACTTAGCCAAACAGGTAAGAATGCAAACAGGGGTTGGGGGGAGGAGGGAGGATCATATAAAAGCTGAAAGCAGGGAAAGATCAGAAGGGGGTATTCTATACAGATAGTATCCCCAGCTTAGTAGGAGGTAGTAGAACTTTCTACTTTACTCAGAAAGCCTCCATGACAAGAGCTAGACATTTTTCTGGCTAGAGTGGAGGAAGGGGCAGAATTATCACTCACAGGCAACTTCCCTCCTTCTAAAGTAAGAGATTACTAAGTATTTGCCCATGGCTTCTCCCGTATGCTGTGCTAAAGAATGGTTCAGGGCCGGGCGCGGTGGCTCACTCCTATAATGCCAGCACTTTGGGAGGCCGAGGGCAGATCACTTGAGGTCAGGAGATCGAGACCACCCTGACCAACATGGTGAAACCCCGTCTCTACTAAAAATACAAAAATTAGCTGGACGTGGTGGCACATACCTGTAATCCCAGCTACTTGGGAGGCTGAGGCACAAGAATGACTTAAATTGGTGACGTGGAGGTTGCAGTGAACTGAGATTGCGCCACTGCACTTCAGCCTGGGTGGCAGAGTGAGACCCTGTCTCAAAAAGAAAAAAAAAAAAAAGCGTTTTAACCAGAAACTCTGTACCCATTGGCAAATCACTCTTTATCTCCTCCTCCTCTTCCCCCAACCCCAGGCAACTCATCTATTTTCTGTCTCTAGAGATTTGCCTGTTCTGGACATTTCATATAAATGGAATCATACAGTATGTGGTCTTTTGTGACCAGATTTTGACATAATTGTAGTTCCTAAAGTGTTATATAAACACTGCTCTTGACCTATATTCTGAATTTCATCGTACTTTGAACTTGAGCAGACACCATCTTATAGATATCTAAAAAATAAGAAATTACCTTTTGTTATGGGAAATTTCAAATATATTCAAAAGTAAAGAATAAGAGTAGGCCGGGCACAGTGACTCACACTGTAATCCCAGCACTTTGGGAGGCCAAAGCGGATGGATCACCTAAGGTCAGGAGTTGGAGACCAGCCTGGCCCACGTGGCTCTACTGAAAATACAAAAAATTAGCTGGGCGTGGTGGTGGTGGACGCCTGTAATCCTAGCTACTCAGGAGGCTGAGGCAGGAGAATTGCTTGAACCCGGGAGATGGAGGTTGCAGTGAGCTGAGATTACACCATTGCACTACAACCTAGGCAACAAGAGCAAAACTCCATCTCAAAAAAAAAAGACAAAATAAATGTTATGATAACCCTCCGGGTACTTATAACCAGCTTCCATAGTGATTATCTTGCAGTTATCAACATATGGCAGTTATTTTATTTTATTTTATTATTTATTTTTTAGACGAGGTCTTGTTCTACCTCCCAGGCTGGAGTGCAGTGGCGCGATCTCGGCTCACTGCAACCTCTGCCTCCTGAGTTCAAGTGATTCTCCTGCCTCAGCCTCCCAAGTAGCTGGGACTACAGGTGTGCACCACCACGCCTGGCTAATTTTTGTATTTTTAGTAGAGATGGGGTTTCACCATATTATCCAGGATGGTCTCCATCTCATGACCTCGTCATCCGCCCACCTTGGCCTTCCAAAATGCTGGGATTACAGGAGTGAGCCACTGCGCATATGGCCAGTTTTGATTTAGCTATACCTCCACCACTTTCCTTTCCCCTCTACATTATTTTATTTTATTTTATCTTATTTTTTGAGACAAGGTCTTGCTTTGTTGCCCAGGCTGGAATGCAGTGATGCCATCAGGGCCACTTCTGAGGTCCTCCCACCGCAGCCTCCTGAGTATCTGGGACCACAGGTACACACCACCACATCTGGCTAATTTTTTTGTGTGGTTTGGAGAGACAGGGTTTTGCCATGTTGCCCAGGTGGTCTCTACCTCCTGAGCTCAAGTAGTCCACCTGCCTCAGCCTCCCAAAGTGCTAGGATTACAGGCATGAGCTACCATGCCCAGCCTCCTCTAGATTATTTTAAAACAAATCTCTGAATCTCTGACATTATATTAATTTAACATGTATCTCTCAGAAATAAACATTCTTTTTTTTTTTTTTAAATGAGATGGAGTCTCACTCTGTCACCCAGGCTGGAATGCAGTGGCACGATCTCGACTCACTGCAGCCTCTGCCTCCTGAGTTCAAGTGATTCTCCTGCCTCAGCCTCCTGAGTAGCTGGGATTACAGGCGCACACCACCACGCCTGGCTAATTTTTGTGTGTGTGTGTATATATATATATATATACAAATATATATATATATGTTTTTTTTTTAGTAGAGACAGGGTTTCACCATGTTTGCCAGGCTAGTCTTGAACTCCTGACCTCAGGTGATCCACCTGCCTTGGTCTCCCAAAGTGCTAGGATTACAAGCATGGCTACCGCACCCGGCCAGATTCTTTTTTAAGAGACAAACCTATAATATTATTATACCTAAAAAATTAACAATAATTTATTAATATAATACCTAGCCAATATTCCAGTTTTCTCAGTGGTCCCATAAATGTCTTTTTACAGTTGTTTTATTTCAAGTCAGGATTCAAACAAGACACACACATTGCTTTTTGATGGTAAGGTTCGTAAGTCTTTTTTTTGTTGTTGTTGTTTTTGGTTTTGGGTTTTTTTGTCAGTATGATACCCTCTGTTTTTTCCCCTTCCATTTATTTGTTGAAGAAATTTGGTCATTGTCTTTTAACATTTCACACATTGTAGATTTTGCTGATTATAGTTTTAAGTCTTTAAGAAAAAAAAACTTGTTGTGGCCGGGTGCAGTGGCTCACGCCTGTAATCCCAGCACTTTGGGAGGCCAAGGCAGGCAAATCATGAGGTCAGTTCAAGACCGGCCTGGCCAACATGGTGAAACCCTGTCTCCACTAAAAATATAAAAATTAGTCGGGCATGGTGGCACGCACCTGTAGTCCCAGCTACTCGGGAGGCTGAGGCAGGAGAATCACTTGAACCCGGGAGGCGGAGGTTGTCGTGAGCTGAGATCAGGCCACTACACTCCAGCCTGGGCAACAGAAGGAGACTCTGTCCCAAAAAAACCACCATGTTCTTCTAGCCCTCATTTTTCCTGCAGCTTAGTACTTAGAGCTAGAGGCTCAATTAAAATCAGATACAAATTTTAAAAACAATAATATTTAATAGGAAGTTCTTTGTATTTCTTACGCCATATCAGCAAATACATAATGTCTGGTAGTCTTTCTTTTGTTATGATTGATCAGTGAGTAGACATCATCTTAACCCTATCTTTTATTTATTCTAGAAATTCCCTTACAAATGGCCACCTCTACCTCTGCTTAATTTTTTTTTTTTTTTTTCCTGATGGATTCTCGCTCTATCACCTAGTCTGGAGTGCAGCAGTGCGATCTCAGCTCATTGCAACCTCTGCCTCCGAGTGATTCTCCTGCCTCAGCCTCCGGAGTAGCTGGGACTACAGGTGCACACCACTGCACCCGGCTAATTTCTGTATTTTTAGTAGAGACAGGGTTTCGCCATGTTGGCCAGGCTGCTCTTGAACTCCTGACCTCAGGTTATCCACCTGCCTCAGCCTCCCAAAGTGCTGGGATTCCAGGTGTGAGCCATCGCACCCTGCCTTCTTTTAAAGAAATCAGATTCTACTCCCTTCAGGAGGTTCCAGTGGCTACCTTCTTGTCTAGGAGTCACACTTGGCTTGATTAGAGGAACAGCCAATTCTAAACATTACTCTGTAATTCTTTTCTCTTTTTTTTTGAGACAAAGTCTTACTCTGTCACCCAGGCTGGAGTACAGTGGCACGATCATGGCTCACTCCAGCTTCCACTTTCCAGGTTCAAATGATCCTCCTGCCTCAGGCTTCCAAATACAGATGTGCACCACCATACCTGGCTAATTTTTTAATGCTTTTTTTTCTTTCTTTTTTTAGAGATGGGGTCTCACTATGCTGCCTAGGCTGGTCTTGAATTCCTAGGCTCAAGTGATCCTACTGCCTCAGCCTTCCAAAGTGCTGGGATTACAGGCATGAGCTACCACAGCCGGCCATAGCTGTAATTTTTTTTTTGTTTGTTTGTTTGTTTTTGCGATGGAGTGAGTCTCTGTTGCCCAGGCTGGAGTGCAGTGGCGCGAAGTCGACTCACTGCAGCCTCTGCCTCTCGGGTTCAAGTGATTATCCTGCCTCAGCCTCCTGAGTAACTGGGATTACAGGCGCCCACCACCACGCCTGGCTAGTTTTTGTATTTTTGTTAGAGATGGGGTTTTCACCATGTTGGTCAGGCTGGTCTCGAACTCCTGACCTCGTGATCTGCCTGCCTTGGCCTCCCAAAGTGCTGGGACTACAGGCATGAGCCATTGCGCCTGGCCTTAGCTGTAATCCTTAAACCTGGCTACCTATAGTCATCTGAGGAGTGGCTCAGAAAACCCAAAAAACACATGAATAATTTTATAGAAATAAGAACATAATACACATGCTGTTTTTATTATACACAATTTTCCTGTCTCTTCTCTCACAGCCATCCCTCCTTCCCCAGGTAATTATGTAGTGTGCATACATTGTATTTTTCTGTTCATACAATCCTATGTAGACCTACATATACAGAAAGTGGTTTTTTTTTTTTTTGCTTGTATATCATTTTACATATTTTTTCCTTTTAATGCAACATTTCATTAAAATTCCTTCACATCATCTCGTTTAACTCAGTTCATTCTTTTTAAGTGACTGAACAATATTTAGTATTAAACCATAATGTATTTAGCTATTCTTCTATAGATGGGCATTACTTTATTTCTAGTTCTTGGCTACTATAAATTATGTCAGTAGAAAATATTCTTACACATATGTTGTTATGAACTGGTATTTTTTTCTTCTTCTTCTCAGGATTAGAATTGTTGGGCAACAGGATAAATATATTTTTTATTTTACTGGCGATTACCAGGTTGCTTTTTAGGAAGACTGTAACATTTCACATTTCCCCCAATAATGTTCAAGGATATATATATATATATATATATATATATATATTTTTTTTTTTTTTTGTGAGATGGAGTCTTGTTCTGTCACCCAGGCTGGAGTACAGTGGCGTGATCTTGGCTCACTGCAAGCTCTGCCTCCCGAGTTCATACCATTCTCCCGCCTCAGCCTCCCGAGTAGCTGGGACTACAGGCGCCCACCACCATGCTCAGCTAATTTTTTGTATTTTGAGTGGAGATGGGGTTTCACCGTGTTAGCCAGGATGGTCTTGATCTCCTGACCTCGCGATCCGCCCGCCTCAACTTCCCAAAGTGCTGGGATTACAGGTGTACACCACCATGCCCGGCCAAGGATATTTTCTTGGACTTTTTAGGAACCTTTCAAAAATGAAAATTCCCAGGCACCAACCACAAACCTTCTGATTCAGGTCTGTGGTAACATCCAGAAAGCTATATTTTTAAAAGTTCCCAGATGAATCTGAGGTGGTATTGAAAGCACTGCATTTAAGTACCCAGGAATACTGAAAATAACTGGTCTTACAGTACTTACATGAATAATATCAGCTTCAGCCAGATATAGATATATTAGAATCACATCATCAAATCAAGACATGAATTGGCCATGGACATATGTGTCAAA